TGCTTTCTTGCCACAGATGCTACCAGACTGACTGAGTTCTCCAGCAATTTCAGCTTTTGCCCCTAAAAACTTTGTACGCTTGATGAAGTCTCTTCTCATTCTTCTAAACTCCAATGAGTACAGGCCAAACCCACTCAATCTCTCTTCATAAAATAGTCCTTTCCATATCTGGGATCAAACTAGTGAATCTTCTCTAGACTGCTTCCAAAGGCAGTTAATCCTTTCCTAGATAAAGGAGACCAAGACTGTCACAGTTTTGCAGGTGTGGTTTAACTAGTGCTTTGTATAGCTTTAGCAAGACATCCCCAATGTTTACACTTCATTTCCTTTGAAATAAAGACATGAAGGTCTGTTAAAATGAAAATCCAATTGCTCTTTCTCAGTCTGCAAGAGAAAAAAAGGGTGTGCAGTTATTTCTTGTCTCTTTTCATCTCTCGAGAAGCCCCAAAGCACTTCACACCCATTGAACTGCCTATTCAGATGCAGTCATTCTTTACTGAAGTGCAGTATGCTCTCAGTGCAGCATTGAAGTGTCAGCCAAGATGATGTGTGCAAGTCTTGGAATGGGGCTTGAAGCCAGAACTGTATAACTGAACAATTGGGATACTGCCACTAGTCATTCAACTACATGTGCAACCATTAACAAGACCACCCATGGTGTACAAGGCTACCACAGACTTTTTTTTTAAAATGCACCCTGCATTGATTTATAAACAGATGGAACCATTCAAAGCCACACTGGGAGAGATCAGGGATGGGGTTTCTGATCTCACATGAACCCAGAGACAGGAGGGTGTCTGTGTGACTTTTAACACGGCTACTCACATCATTTTTATTTTGCTTCCTATCTTTCCATGGCCTTTGGGCATTACTGGCAAGGCTAGCATTTATTGCCCATCTGTAATTGCCGTTGAACTAGTGGCTTCCTCGGCCGTTTCAGACCTCAGTTAAGAGTGAACCACATTGCCAATGGTTTGGAGTCACACGTCAGTCAGAATAAGTAAGGATGGTAGACTTCCTTCCCTAAAGGACACTGATGAGCCTGATGGGTTTTTATGACAACCAATGGTAGTTTGGTAGTATCATTACTGAGGCTAGCTTTCAATTCCTGCTTTTTAGATATACCTAAATCGACCTGCTCAGAGAAGTTACCACTGGAGCAGGTGAGACTTGAACCTGGACCTCCTCATTCAAAAGTAGCCTTTTTCTTTGAATTCCAGTAGTTGCCGTGATGGGATTTGAACCCCTGGCTCCACTGCATTTTCTTGGGTCTCTAATTTACCAGCTGAGCTACATTAACACTATCCCACTGTCTTGCCCAATTCCAGCTGTTTGTTAATTGGAATTCAAACTCCACCAGTTGCTGTCAATACTCTCTCTTACTTATTTTCTTGCTGCAGAGGGCTTTTGCGGCAGTTACCGTGCCTCGGAGCGAGGAGTTCCGGGTTCAAGTCCCACCTGTTCCAGAGGCGTTCAATAACATCTCTGAAAAGGTTGATTAGGAAAATATCTGTTTTCATGTTCCGCAAGTCTCCTAAGTCCAAATGTGGCATTGGCTCCTGAAACCAGAATGTCAATGTGTCTGCATGCCAATGAGCTTGTGCAGAATCTTGGAGCAGGCCTGCAGCTGAGAGGAGACATTGGATTGTCATCGTGGGGTTGAACCGATTCCCTAGAATATGTTCACATTCACCTGGTATGCATCACTCGGGCTTATTCTGTTACTTCAATCACCACATCCACTTTTCTTTTTCATTTATTCTTTCATGGGATTTGGGTATCCATGACAAGGCCAGCATTTTTTGCCCATCCCCAATTGCCCTTGAATTATGCAGCTAGCTGGACCATTTCCAAGGTAGTCAACCCACATCACTGTGGATCTGAAGTCTTGTAGGCCAGACCACATGCCTGGTTTGGAACAAAGGAACATACAGCACAGGAACAGGCCGCGCAGAGCACCAATATGGCGCCAACATGATGCCATTCTAAACTAAAAGCCTTTCGTTTCTCTGCGGTCTGTATCCCTCTTTTCCCTGCCACTCACATCTCTGTCAAGATGCCTCTCAACATTGTGACCATCTCCTCTGGTAGCGTGCTCCAAGCACTTAACACCCTTTTTAAAACCTGCCTCTCACATCTCCTTTAAACTGACTCCCTTTTTACATTAAACCAACGTCCCCTAATAACTGACATCTGTACCCTGGGAAAAAAAAAAGACTCCAGCTGTCCATTCTATCACTGCCTCTCATAATGTTGCGAACTTCTATCAGGTCACCCCTCATCCTTTGAATTTCAAATGTAAACAAACCAAGTTTGTCCAATGTCTCCTCATAGTTAATACACTCCAAACCAGGCAACGTCCTGGTAAACCATTGCTGTACCATCTCCAAAACCTTCATATCCTTCTAGTAGTGTGGCGACCAGGATTAATTAATTTTGACCAGCTACTTTGTTAGGATTTGAGCCCATGTACCCAGAGCATTAGTTGGTACATGTGGATTTTTACACCAGTGACATTACCATTACACCATGTCCCCACATGGGACAAATTGTCTGCACTCATAGCTAGGTGAGCAGCACAGTGGCTAGCATGGCTGCCTCACAGCACCAGAGAACCGGGTTCAATTCCACCCTCGGGTGACTGTCTGTGTGGAGTTTGCACATTCTCTCTGTGTCTGCGTGGGTTTCTTCCGGGTGCTCCAGTTTCCTCCCACAGTCCGAAGATGTGAAGGTTAGGTAGATTGGCTGTGCTAAATTGCCCGTAGTGTTCAGGGAGGTGTAGATTAGGTGGGTTATAGGGGGATGGGTCTGGGTGGGACGCTCGGAGGTTCACTGTGGACTTGTTGGGCCGAAGGGCCTGTTTAAACACTGTAGGGATTCGATGATCTAGTTTAGCCAGGGCTATCTACCTAAAGATTGACAAGATACAGATAGGTCATGGGTCAGGAAGGTGCTGTCAATGACCTCTTGTGGCAGGGCAGATTACAGATGGTATACACTGTGCTCCGGTGGTTGAGGTGATGGTGATGGATGGGGTGTTGATACAGTTGGCTGTTTTATCTTGGATGGTGTCAGGCTTCAAGTATTATTGGAACCGCAGTCACCCAAGCAAGTGGAAAACATTCCACGACATTCCCCCCTCACCTTTGTTTTGTAGAATGGTAACCAGGCTTTGGAAAGTCAGGAACATAGTGACTTGCTGCAGAATTCGCTGCATCTGACCTTGTGGTCCCATTATTTAAGTTTCTGATCAAGGATAATCCTAGTATATTGATGGTTGGACATGCTAATAGATGGCCCACCTCTCCCCAAAGGGGGTTGGCTGCCACCAGTCAGGTGCATTCCAATTAACAGCAGGAGGTGGTTTCCCAAAGTGCTCATGTTGTTGGCGCTTTTAAACCTGCAGCCAAGCGAATGCCCATTCCCAACCAGCTATTAACCAAAAAAAAAGGACAACCTCTCACCTGTCCTCAAGAAACCAATAGCAGGAACAGAGCAGAGAAAAACTCAATGAACCCAATTCCTTCCCCCATGAAGAAAAGCCTTTTTAAAGTGATCCACACATCATCACCAAAGCTAATTTTGTAATGGGACAATGGAATCACTGTAGAGTTTACTGGAACGTTAGATCTTCTCAAACTTTTGAGGGAAACAGACTCATTTAATCTAAGTTTGCTGAATGTTTTGGAAAATTAGTATTTTGTCACAAATTTGTGTCTGATGCAGCACTCATGTTCAATGGAGAGCCACATCCTGTTTACACAAGGCTATAATTCCAGCAATTGCAAAATATCTTTTAAAGAAAACCAAAAGGCATTTAAGGCCTGGAACTAGAATGACATTTTGGAAGCCTGAAACACTCGTAGTATTTTGCTGGTATCTTGGGCAAGCATTAAGTGTGCTTTCGTGGCATTTGTGCTTTCTGGCATGGAGCCAAGGAAGTTAGCATCAGAATTGTGGAAATTGACCGTGATCCAGATCCAAAAATCTGATCAATTAGTTTTTCAAATTATACTCAATACAGTCCTCAAAAGGCACATACCCACCATCACCAGATCTTGATAGTTTTTTTTGGTCATCCACACAGGGGATGTGGAAGTCACTGGCTATGCCTAGATATAAGTTAACAGTCCTTCACATTGCTGTGAGTCTGGAGTCAGAGGTTGGCTAGACCTAGCAAGGAAAGCACATTTCTTTGTAAAGACCAGATGGTTTTTTTCACAACAATCAACAAGGTTGCCATTGTAGGATTACAATCAGAGGGAGTCAGAGCTTTTACAGCATGAAAAGGGTCTCTTCAGCCCATCATATCTGCATCAGTCATCAAGCATCTATCTAGTCTAATCCCTTTTTCCAGCACTTGGCCTGTCTGTAGCATTGTGAAATAATTGCGTTTCAAATGTTCATCCAAATACTTCTTAACTGTCTCAAGGGTTCCTCCATGTACTACCCTTTTAGATGTTGAGTTCCTGATACCCTCTGGGTCAAAATATTTTTCCTTAAATCATCTTTAAATTTCCTTTCCTCAAAACTGCTCCACATGGTTAATGACCCCACCACGAAAGGAAAAACTTCTACTTATCTACTCTGTCTATACTCCTCAGATTCTCCCCATAGACTTCTCTGCTTCAAGGATAACAACCCCAGTCTACCTAGTTTCACTTCATAGGTGACAGGTAACATCAAGGTGAATCTCTTCTGCACCCTTTCTAGTGCAATCACATCCTGCCTGTTGTCTGGCAACCAGAACTGCACTCTAACTGTGGACGAACTAATACTATAAACAGATCCATCATAACTTCCTCGCTCTTGGAGTCAATGCCTTGATGACTAAAGGCAGTGTCCCATTCAAATCCATGCAATAGCCCGGGACTCTGGATTAGTGGTGCGGTGACATTACCACTAATCCACAGTCTCGCCGAAATATGCTCCATTTCGAGTGGCTCACTGATGATGCTGCTTGCTCCCGTCCTAGACGTTTACAATATGTTCGCACTTACCTGCATCCGCACTGCTCTTGGTTGTCTCCAGCAGTCCCTCCAGCACGTGCTCCACAATGTTCTCGGGGGTGTCCAAGAGATGCCACAACTTACTGCTGAGCGTGGACCCATTGGGGCTGATTTCACCCGACGACAGGGAAGGACTGGTCAGGTCGTCCTCTGTGTCCGTCCATTTACTCTCCAGGCATCCAATGTCTGGGCTAAACTCATCTTTGGGGCTGGGGCTATCACTGCTAGACACCGCATCCTTCAGGAACGGGAGTATTTTGGAAGCGCTCGGCCGTCGCTTTAGGGTCCCCGGGAAAACGTTGTCCTTTTCCACACGGCTTCTGGTCAGGGTCGAGGTCTGTTTTTTCAGAAATTTCTCGATCTGCTTCATCCCTGTCATCGTCATGGAATACTTATCGGGACTGAAGGGAGGATTTTCAGCGAGTCTGAACGCCTGTGTTTTTCGGGGCGGGGCTCTACCTCATCGTGAAGGCTGTTTGTTTCAAACGAAGGCGAACACAATGCTGGAGGGCAGTTCACTCCCATTGACTGTTTGAAGCAAAACAGGAATTTCCATGGCAGTCTGCAAGCTGATACTAGTAGGTGAGAGGGGGAAAAAAAAAGAGGCAAAAACAACATAGCAGTCATCAGAAAAGGTGTTCGTCAATAAAATGAGTCCCAAATCTTGAAAATAGTAGAAAGGGAGTTACCAGAGACTCAACTTTCAAAGTCCTTCTCAATTTAACCCTTTAAATCCTCCCCTCATTTGGTTACCTTCCCTTTCCTTCGCTCCCTCCCACTGCCATTCACCATTCTGTGCATGAATGGGCAGCTAAGAAAGATTTGCATTTGGATCGCACAATTCGTGTCTGCAGAGTGTCCCAAATTCCTTTCCAGATAACACCACATTTGACTTCTGACTGCTGCTGTAATGCACTGGAGCTGCTTCTCAGGTCCCACTCATGCTGCTCTGTAATGAGGTGCCAGGAGGAACAGAATCTCAGGGTAAATTTCATGCCAAAATTTTAACCCTCCCAGGAATAGCATTTACCCCCTCTCACCTAACATTCACTCCCCATTAGCTACTCCCAAATCTCCCCAGCCCACGTTGCCAACCCGAGAATGGAAACACTGAGGTTCAGAGACAAACCTGAATCTATAGCACCATGCAGCACAATGTTGATACAGGATTAACCGTTAAACCTCCGGTTCCACCTGACAAATTATGATAAGATTTCTTAGATATTTTTGTTTCTTGGGGTCCTGCCAAACAGAAAGTTACCTTTGCTTAGAAAATCCCAATTCCAATCATAGAATTGTTAGAGTGTGGAAGCAGGCCAGTCAGCCCATCGAGTCCACACCGACCCTCTGAACAGCATCTCATCCATACCCACACCCCTGCCCTATCCCTGTAACCCTGTATTTCCCATTGCTAACCCACTTAGCCTGCACATCCCTAGACACTATGGGCAATTTAGCACAGCCAATCCACCTAACCTGCACATCTTTGGACTGTGGGAGGAAATCCAAGGAATCCTGAAGGAAACCCACACAGGCACAGGAAAATGTGTAAACTCCACACAGCTCTTTGCCCCAGAGTAGAATTGAACCCGGATCCCTGGTGCGTTAAGACAGTATTGTTAACCATTGAGTCACCGTGCCACTTGTATGTGACTTCTGTCAATGTGACTTACTTCAAGATTCTGCAGAAGCCTGTAGGACCCATTGTGTTCTCTCCAGCACCATCATGCCTAATCACAATGCAATCTCTTTGTTTACTACTCCTACATGAGGTGCAATCCTCATGGAATATCAGCTGAAGGACACAATATTTCCAAGATCCCAGGATTATAAATTAGTCAGGATTCCTGCTCTTGATTACAATTCTTGCTGGAAATGTGCACAGAATCATGAAATCTTACATCACCTAAGAGATCACTCAGCCCTTCCTGTCTGTGCTGGCCTTTTGAGAGCTATCTAATTAGTCATACTCCCATAGCCCTGCTATTTTTGTCCCTTTCAAAAACTACATCCAATTCCCTTAAGAAAGTGACTGCTGCATCTGCTTCCACTGCCCTTTGAGGCCTTGCAATCTAGATCATAACAACTCACTGTATTAAAATAAAGAACTAACACTGAACAAGGATAAGCTCCAATTTGGATGCAAGAATCCCGCCCAGAGGCTGAATAGTGACCTGTCCAATCTCATCGTGTCAAATGGTCCCTTGAACAAGTTCCCATGGGATCCAACATTTTTGAATCAACCCCAGCACTTTCAGGAGAGAAGAATAACAATGAGGGACAGTAGTAAGTAAAGAGATCGCATTGTGATTGGGGGTTGGGGGTGGTGGGTGGTGGGGGTTGGGGGGGGTGCGCGGAGTTGGTGGGCGGGGGACTTCACAATGGGTCCTGCAGGCTTCTACACAAGCTTGAAATTGGTCACATTGACAAAGGTTACACAAGGTCGTTCCTCGCTACTCCTGGTCTTGCCATACCACTTGGGGAATGGGGTTAGGCTGGAAGACGGTGCGAGAAGAAAATGCTCAACCCCTCACTCTAAATGATGGAGAATGACTTCACAATTAGCAAGAGAAATTATTTCCCTTTTACAGCCATTTCTCCACACCATCTACGTACTTCCCCCATCCCTTCACCAGCCCCTCACCCCAAAAGAGAGTTAGGAAAACATACTTAGATTAATTTGACAAATTGCTGGATCAGCTTTTTAACCGCTAACATGCGCTGCATCAATAACACATCACTGCCTTATTCCACAGCCTGGCAGAAGTGTAGACACGGAAGAACAAATTCCAAAATAACTGAACAGGGTGTATGCTAAATATAAACAAATATTAATCATTCTTGATCACATCTTGATCATCACTTTGAACGACAAATTGAAGCTACTGATATGAAAAGCAAGTTGTTTCATTCTGATTAACACTTTGGTATCAGAAAAGTTGCCAGTTTTGATATGAATACCATTGGCCATCAGTACTCCTTCTTTCACTTATAGTATTCTATAAATTCATCTTTTCAAACTCTAATGAGTGTAGCAGAAATACAACTTGGGGCGGCACAGTGGCTCAGTGGTTAGTCCTGCTGCCTCACAGCGCCAGGGAACCGAGTTCGATTCCACCCTTGGGCAACTGTCTGTGTGGAATTTGCACATTCTCCCCGTGTCTGCGTGGGTTTCCTCCAGGTGCTCCGGTTCCCTCCCACAGTCCAAAGATGTGCAGGCTAGGTAGATTGGCCAGGCTAAATTGCCCATAGTGTCCAGGGATGTGTAGATTAGGTGGGTTCGGGGAATGGGTCTGGGTGGAATGCGCTGAGGTTCAGTGTGGACATGTTGGGCTGAAGGGCCTGTTTCCACACTGTACAGATTCTATGGATACGAAATACCAAGTAAAGAAATTGCATTATTTTATTTTTCAGAAGGCAGAATGAAGTCCAGATGTTTTAGTGCCTTTCTCTTGTGCAGGACAGAAGACCAGGAAGATCCCAGACACAATCTTAAAATCAGTTCAGTAGGTCAATTGTAAGACAGAATAAGATAGACACAAGTGGCTTCAACACACCTGGGCTTAGGTGTGAGAAGAAAATACACCTTCTCACACCTAATCATTAGCTAGTGACACCAAACAGATATGTGGATATTAGATAAGTATCGGTTCCAGCACAATGATATGGTGCAAAAGCAGTCACCCAATGGTTTTGTAGATGAAGAAGAGCCATTGGATCATTATACTATAGAAACCTCTGGAACTGAACCCACTAATGATTCAGTATCTTGAGGACAGGTGAGAAGACAGAAAAAAGGGAAAGCATCAAAAGATATTTGATCTTAGTTGGTCAGATTATACCCTTTTACTCCTCTAAATTCCATCATTCCAGGTAAAGTCTTGACTCAGAGTCTCACATTCTTGGTCTTTCCCCTGATTAGCAACTCACGTCTCATGCTATTCGCAATCAGAACCTCCACATTCCAACAGACTAAATGTCCCGCTAGGCACTCATGAATATGTTCATCCAAATTAGTTCATGAGCAGTTTTGAGAGAGGGTGAGGTCACTTTAACCCTGCATTCTTCTCCCTTCTGATACCCTCAATTTTTTAAAATTAATACAGGGGACATGTGTTGCTGACTGGGCCAACATTTTGGCCCATCCCTAGTCACCTTTGAAAAGGTGATGGTGAGCTACCCTCTTGAACCACTCCAGTCCATTTGGTGCAGGGACACCCGCTATGCTTTTGTAAGGGAGTTGCAGGATTTTGACCAAGTAACGGTGAAAAAGTGGCATCACGGGAGTCTTTAAAATCCAGCCCCAGCCTTAGCATGCTCCATATTCTCACCATTCTCGGAGTAAAGCAGTTTTCTTCCCCAATCCTTTATTGAATTTATTAATGCTGCAAGTTGGAATTACTATTTGTTGCCTGAAGAACAACCACTGCAAGAGAAATGTACGACAAATACATTTCTGTTCCAATATGAATGAATGTGAGAGAGATTTGATGGATCCTGCTGCTCCATGTACAAACCTGTCCAATTAAATTAATGCCAGGATGTGGAATTTTGAAAAGGCAATTGACAATTTTTCTTTCTCCCAGTGCTGTTTATAGAGGGTAGAGGTGACTAGGTGTTGACTCTTGTAATGAGAGATACATTGTTTACATGTATCATGGAATTTTTAGAATTTTGATTTCAAAATAGAGACAGTTTTTTGTTACTTCTGCGAAGGGTTGCTTAAAATAAAAGAAGATCAAAGTCCTCCCAGAACAATGACTAAATCCAGCATATAGTCAGAAAGCTAGTAACTCCAAGTTTAGAGTGGGAATGAATGAAGCTTATACAGTTGGGGGTACAATGGGTAGGGTAAACATGTAAGACCATTAGTTTTGTTTAATGATCTAACAAAACAATAACTCTGATTTCTCTCCACAGATGCTGCCAGACCTGCTGAATTGTTTCTAGCAATTTCTGGTTTGTTTCTGATTTTCAGCATCCAAAGTTCTTTAGTTTTTTTTGTTCGGTTTTCTCTTTCTCAGCAATGAAACCCGCAAGCTGTTTAATCTTTCCAGATAGATTCACAGTCTCAGTTCAGGCATCAATCTTGAAAGTACTTTTTGAGCCTTTTTTCTGTATTCTTTCCCCTTCGCTAGATATTAATCATAGCTCTTTTACATTCTTTCTTGCTGAGGATCCACTTGCATCAAATAGTATTCAGGCCCTCTGTGTAAAGTAGTAGGTTAAAAAAAACTCCATCTACTTTCACAATTCCACACCCTATTACAAATTTATTTTGACAGGTCCATACATGAAGCAGCAGGCCCATCAAATCTCCTTCGCTTCATGTTCCTTTTATAAACTACTACAGCAAAGCAGATTCTTCAGGACATTAGTGAGACTATTATCCTTCATGAACATTTGTTCATATCACTGTTCCAGGACAGAGTATAAAAATATTGTATCTGGTGCACATTTAATACATGGTTTATATTCTTTAGGCAAAAGAAACCCATGGGTTAGGAAATACCTCGGGGAAAGCAATGAACCATTTTGACTGGCACAGAATTAGAATGATATTGGGCAGCAAGCT